GATGCATACATTAGGGGGAAGGGATTCGTGGGGTTTTGCAGGAGGTTAGGGAGGGGGCATTAAGAAGGGTGGAGGATCAATAACCTGGAGTACAATAATCTGCATGGACTAGATGGGCTGAATGGCTTGGACAGACTATGTAAATCAATGTGAGTTCTTGAGATCCCCATTATTTGTTATTAGGGAGAGAGGCTATTAGGGGTAGACTGGTGGGCAGTTAAACCTATAGCTCGCAGACAGTAATGTTGTACTAATTGAACAACTGGTATGAAATCAGCAAGTAATGGTTCAGAAAAACATTGGAGGAAAACTAAACTAAAATGGAGGGAAGTCGAGATGAAGATGTAAGCGGTGAAACAGAATGTTCTGCTGTTGGCTGGAGCCTCCCAGCTTCCTAGATAGACAAGATCACCCACTTGTGGTGAGAGAAGCCTATAGCAACTTGCTTGCCTTTTGCTGGATTGTGTGGAAGCACTCCCCAGGTTTAAATCTGATTGCCAAGAAGAGGATTTATTTTCATATCAAAAGTAATCTAAAGTGGAAGCATTGTTATAGGAGAAGTATTTTCAGTGTAAAGTACTTTCTCCATGTGGTTTGTGGTGGGGTGGGGGGCTATTATTAGCTACTTTGGGTGACAACCCTGACGCTGCTTGACATTTTATCGGTCAATCCAGGTGATTGACATATATGGAAATCCATCATCATGCAAAAGAGCATCCAAAACTAGGCTGAGAATTCTACATATACTTGGAATGGAGAGCGTACATTCTCTCCTGTGTCTGAAACAGAGTTAGCACTCTCTTCCCGGGGGGACACAGCCTGATAACCCAACTCTGGTTAGGTGCACATTAGGTACAGGTTGGCAAGAATCAAGGCTTGGGGACCTTGGAGGGTGCGTTGGGATCCTGCTGAAGTATAATCTGCTAAAAACGCATAGCTTGCCATTGTGTGCGCTGTCTTGCATGCGTCCCACTGCTCAAAAACTAAACAGTCCAGTTCAAAACCCTATGGGTGACACGAGGACCATCTGAGGGTTTGCCTTAATTTGGGTGCAATTCATGGTCAGTCAGATATTTAACACAATGAGTGGTGCTCCTCTTCCCTTCTCTCACACTGTTCTCAATTGTGAAGTGAGAGAAGCCGTGCTGGCCTTCTGGTTTGTGAATTTGACTGCTGATTACCAGGATATTGGCTTTTTAGTAAAATAAACTCTCAAAAAGCCAACCATTCAGTCACCCGGCAGTCAAATGCCACAATTCATAAGCTGGAAATCGTATGCTAAGGTCCCGGTTTCAACAAGTTCACCTTTGGGGTAGGCCACCCTCTCACCCCTACCCCTCCTGACCTCCACCACCCTCGATCCTAAACCCCTGCTAGGGTCCAAATCCAGGCGCTGTACAAATGTAATTTGTTGTTGTTGTTGAGAATTGAGTCTGAAGATCCCATTTAATGTGATCAATATCACGTGGAGTACAAGTTTCACCCCATTATGGGGAGAAATCTTAAAATGCGTCAGCCAAAGTTAAACTTTTGAATCTTACATATCAGAATTAAAATATTATTGCCTCACTGAAAGATTGCCAGCTTTCCATAGACTTAACATTACAGTGGAAGCTGACAAAATACAACATGACATAATTAAACAAGCAAATCAAATGCACCTCTGTTAACAGGAATTGTACAGTAATGTTCCTATGCTACAGCCTAAATGAGCGAAGTTTGACATATTTAGCACTAATTTGTTCACTCCCACAGGACTGTGCAAATAGGCCAAATAACGTAAAGTGGTCTCAACCCAGCTCTTGCTTTAAATCGACTTCAGCTCCTGACTGGGGAACTTCTCAAACAAATAGACAACTTCCAATAGGCGCTCAACAATCTACGCCAATCACCAAGAAGGAGCTGACAGCAACTGTGTTCTTATTTGCAGCAGAGCTGCAGGGCTAGTTCTGAAAAGTCCATTTACTGAATTTACAATAGATTTGAGCTGATAGTTCCAGATTTCAAAAAATAAATATCTGGCCTGAAGGAGTTTTGAGGTCTATTTCTATCTTGAAGCATTTTCTTGTGTGAGGAGAAAAAAACCTTACATTACATGGTGGTACTTTGCTGTGTGCAGAATGACCAGATTTCTGTTCCAGAGCTTTGCATGTAATGAATATATTCATAAAGCTCATTTGCAGCATAAATGTGACTAATGCTATAATGACCCTAAACCAATTGATTTTGACTTCATTTCTGTGCTGTACTCACAGCAGGAGGTAGAGCTGCTCTCTCTCTCTCACCAGATTGTGGACAGAGAATTCTTTGTTCAAAAAGCACAACATGAATGTCAAATTACAAAGTTCATTATGCATAAGGAAGACTAGCCCACTGTTGTGAAAAATGAATAATTTCTTAAACAAGTACTTATTTTGGATCATTGTGCTTGAAATTTCAAAGATATCACATTGCTTAAAGGAAGAAGAAAAATCCCTTGATCAGAGCTTGAAGGGCAGGTAGGGCTAAATTCTGTACAGTAGTTTGAGGTAAATGTTTTATTTATTTCTAGTTATCCGCATGAAGTGGCTCTTTGCGCCGTTTAATTAATATTCAAAAGCTAATTCAACTGGATTTCCAATAGTGCTTTGGTGTCCACATCCCAGAATTCTAGAGGGACTCCCAGATAACATTAATAATAATAATCCTTGCATTTGTTGTAGTACCTTATCACGTCGTTAAGACGCCTCAAAAAGTTTCACAGAATATACTGTAAAGTGAATTGACTGTATATTTTATGGGCGAAACGTGGCAGCCAATTGCGCACAGCAGTGTCCCATAAACAGTCATGGATTGAGTGACCAAAGTATTTATTATTTTATTTATTTTAGTTAATTTTTTGAAGAGATTATTATTTCTGGAAAAGCAATCCACCAAGTGACTAACAACCAGGTTCCTACTTACCGCTAGGTAAACAGAGGCATGTAGAGTAAAGAAACTTGCTTAAGGTTTTGCCCTGAGTGCTCTTGCTTGTGAGGTGAGTGCTCTAACTAATACGCTACAGGACTCCACAAAGAAAGATCCTTGCAAGGAACACTACATACATTCAGCCTTTTGCTCCAAGTGAGGAAAAAATTCCAGTAGCAGGTTTGTACCCAAAAAGTAGTTATTAAGTTTACAGTATATTTAAAGAGTTCTAACATGTAGCACCGGCACTCTATGAGGAGCACAGTATTATATGGTACAATTTTCATGTTAGGCAATATTAATTTGGATGGGTTTACAAGCACTTTGATGGTCCATTTATATTTCAGTCTGAAGTCGCAGTTGTTATGGAATCTGCCCTGTTTACACAGTGAGGCAAAGCATACAAATTTAGTAGCAACACAGAAACAATTGCGTTTTTGCAGACTGTAATATTCAAGCTGTATTATTATTTTCTGCTTGTGAAATCTCCCTGCCATACAGAGAAAGTCTGTATTAGGCAGCAAACCTGTTGCTTAGCCTGTATGGCCGGCCAGAAAAATTAACTACTCCAATCAATAAACAGTGTCAGCTGTAACACCAGAAACAGTGGAGGAACTGTTTCTCCCAACACAGGCAAGTTGAAGAACCAACAGTCTGTATTGTTTTGGGTTTACCTTTTCATTAGAATCTTATGTACCTCCATAAGGTCTTCTCTTTTGAAGACTGCGGAGCCTTCATCTTAACTAATTGTTGCTCACAGCCCATCATGAGTAGTTGAGTCATGTACACTTGAAACTCGCAGGTTTAAATCCAGGGCTGTGCTGAGTATCTGATCTAAGTTGGGGCAGCTGTAAATATGTTACAATTGGCTTCATTGGCCCAGAGTAAATATGGAAAATATTGCTCTCATAACATAAAGGCTCATATATGAACAATTCTTGGGTTAAGTATAGTGGAAGTTGGGAGGCCAGAGTGGAACAAAACCTCAATGTTATGTTCATTTACAAGTACAGCCATTACACTTTTATAGATGAAAGTGCTTTTTAGGAGATATTCAAATACAAGGATCATTATTAAATCAATTGTTGTTTTTGAGACAAATATTACAATAATAATCCTTGCATTTGATATAGTGCCTTATCACGTCATTCAGACGTCTCCAAGTGCTTCACAGAATAGACTGTAAAGTGGATTGATGTGTATTTTGTGGGCAAAACATGGCAGCCAATTGCTCACTGCAATACCCCACAACCAGTTGTGAATCGGGTAATCAAATTTTTGTTTGGAGGGATCGATTAAAATAGCTTAATTTCCCCCAAATGGTTCAACATCTGGCCTTGAAGGTCATCCGTTCAATCTCTGGCCTGTGCCATATTAAATTATCTCAACTTTGGCATTGGAGGGAAGACTGCGCTTTGACCCATCAGTGTCCCGAGAACATCCAGCCAGGAAACATCCAGCCATTCTTTTCTGCTCCTGGTCGCCATCCAATGGATCCTTGTGAGAAGTACACATTTATGGACATGGGTTGAGATTAAGATCTGGTTAAGATATTAATAATAATATTAATCCTTGCATTTGACATAGCACCTTATGACAGCTTCGAGACGTCTCAAAGCGCTTCACAGAATATATTGTAAAGTGAATTGACTGCATTGTTTTTATCGACAAAACGCAGCAGCGTCGCAATTGGCTGCAAGATGTGATGTTCCTCCCTCCCTTCCCAAGGTTAATTGTACTCATTCCAAAGAGCAGCATACAATGGTAGTGGGGGGCTGACTATATCTATGGAGGTAGTATCTTCAAGAAGATAGAATATAGTTAGTTACATGTAATAAACAGCTCTATGACTATTAAATGCTCATTGTGTCCAACTATTTCTTACAATTTCACATTCTTTTGTTTGTGGACATATATATTATCCCCCTCCCATATAAAGCACCAGAAACAGCAATAGCGTCAGAAATATGGAACAGCTGAGATCAGACTACAGAAGTGTTCTTTGCTGTTTGAAATCCTCAGCTAAGACTCAAATCAATCAGATCAACAGCCTGTTTAAATAACATTAGTTTTATTTCACAATTCCATTTGGGTTAGTTTAGCTTTAGTCATGTTACAGGAGTATTCAACAAATAATGTGATGCTCGACCATAAAGAAGTGCGGATAACAGTGAAAAATTAATATGACATATAACTTTGACAGCCTTAAAGGAATTTTCCAATAACTGGTCACTTATAAGGTTAACAGTGGACAGCAAAACCCATCTTTTACAAACTTCTTGCTAGATTGGGCTTACCCAAACAAGATAGTAGAAATGATCCAGTTTTAAACTTTTAGTGAAATATTGATGCCTTCCCTCTATTTTATGTTATTTTCTCCCCCATGCATGTTCATGCACTTTCCTCAGCTGGAGATCTGTTTCCAAGCCTCAGCTAACGCCATTTACTTGGAGATTTGTATGAGCAAAGTGGGATGTCCCATCCTCAGACCTTCCTTCACACTTGGGGATGATGGGGGGAAGTGCCAATCTCCATTTGGTATCTCCCTATGTTGCTTCAGTAGCTCATTATGTGGAAACTGAGACAATAACTCTGCAGTGGGCTGTCAGTGTTGGAATCTCAGTGCACTGGGTCATGAGGCAATCCCTAGAACCATCCTCAATTCAATGTTTATTCACCAGGAATCCTCCCACTCAGCTCACATTAACCTTGCAAGCCAAAACCCTAACGTGTAGGGTGGTCCTAGCTGGACAAGCAGCAGGAAAGCTTGTCAAACAGTGCTACCATTGGCAAACTATGTGGTTTTAACTGGTCAGACTCCAGCAGTCACCCCAACCCACACTCTGGGGTCCCAAAGCCTTGTTTCTTGCTAACCTGTGCCTAATACTTTCTAAAATTAGGTAAGTAGGATGCATCCCACCAGGAAGACAGTGTGCATAGCATTCAAACAAGTTACCTCTGGAATTTCTATGTGTAGGTGAGATGCATGGAAATCTCAGTTAGGTTTGGATACTCATAAGCATAGCGATGGATTTCTACAGGTTAGACACCCAGCTGATGAGTAGAGGGATGAGAATCAATGTGCCAAATTGGCTTTTTCAGTCCCAATTTTCTTATGTTCTGCATTAACTTGAGGAAATTAATATGGATTTGCTTCAACTTGTTTATATTACCAGGTTCACATTCTTTCAATAGTGGTGTTTATTTACAGAATTTCTAAACAGGATCCTTTAATAAGAATATCTGCTGAGCTCTGCTCTAAAAGTAGATCAGAAGTCCTGTAGGGTGGCATAACATACTACTACTTACCCATTTTGGGGGACTTGGTGTCTTTATAAATTCCATTAAGAAATATAACAATTCAGACATCATTGGCACAATGCTGTTATTTTTATGCAAGCTTTAATTGATTAAAAGTGTTGAAGACCGAAACGAACTGGGAGATGTGATTTAATTGCAGTGAAAGTCCTTTCTGAATGATGGCTGGCTATATGTGAAATAAGTTTGAACAGCAACAATTGTTACAGCACAAAACCTGCCTTCAAATTGGCACTAAGTTATAGCAATCTCACTCAAAGAAACCAAAGATGGCTGGTGTGAAGAAAATATCACACTGGTACAGCAGGGAGTTCTTGTCTGAAACTAGGGTTGAAAATAGGGATGACAACAAAGAAATAACAAATAGTCACTCCAAGTTTCAAATAATACCTCTTGCCGATAAGTAGATGTGTCACACCGACCAGTGGAAACCATTCAGATTTCCACCATTCCTGAAAGGAGATTGCGTTGGTTAATGTAATACACGTCCAGTAGCAGGAATCATTATATGTACCTTGAAGTTGCTGCTTAAGATAAAACTGCAATTTAGACCCAAAAATCATTGGTTTCTGGGACTCCTTAATGCTAACAGTGAGTGGGTGCTCGAAATGGGAAACTTCCATTTCCCAGAACTACAATCCCTTCTACAATCCCATCAACAAACCACAATCCTTTGTTGATGGGCACAAAATTCATCCAAAAAAAAACTTGAAGATTTAGTTAGTTGCTATCACATTACACTGGAGGAAATAGACAGAGTTTGGAAATCAAAACATTTGTGATCTTAGATGAGTTCCATTATCCTTTTCATATGCAGGTGGTAAATAACACTCAGATGACTTCCTCACTGTTGTCCGATTGTAAACCACACAGGAGGTGATCCCTGATCTCTGAAGTAGCTCCTGAAATCCATGTGAATGCATTGCTGTTAACACCAACATGCACTCTGCAATCACAAGGCTTTGCTCCTTGCTAACGCAATAAAAGTGAAGCCTTTGTATTCGGTGAGTACACTCTTGAGCAAGTTCTGCTTTAAGCTAAAAGGCAGCAATACAGATTCAGTGCAAGAGTTTGCAGCCAGAGAGTGAATCCTCAGATAGTGCGATACCCTGACTCCATGACTAAAACAATGCTATTCTATCTAAAGTAGAAAATAAACCATCTTTATAGCAGCTGGAAGATATTAAAATAAGACCCATATCAAACCCTGTGCCTACATCTTATATTTGGTGTTTTATTTATTATTATAAATTCTTGTAGTTGGACAATTACTTCATGAATGCACTGAGGCAGAAAGTTCAGCAGAAAAATTACTGAAAACTGTAAAGCTTTGTAAGCCTGTTACTATGATGCTTGGTAAATATTTTTTTAAACACAAGTGTTAACATATAGATTTTCATATACTGACGCACGTATTTGTAAAAAACACAATTAAAAACTGAGCTTCATATGGATTATGTAAAACATTTTTGGCTTATCGTATTTTCTATAAACAATAATTGTTATCAAATAGTGGTTATTCTTTGCAGAATAAAGGCTGGGCTAAAATCTATTATATTTAAAGTTACGGAGGTACGCAGGCTTAAGTCCTGATGGCCAGCATAAGGAAACATTTGGAAAGTTGGGTTAATTGTGTCTTCAAGCTCAAGGCAGAAGCTTCCTTTGGCAATCCAGGACCTGGAACTGAGGTTTACCTCCGCCAATTGGTCCCAAAATGTCTCTGGACCTCTTCTTCAGGACACTCACTGTGACAGTTCATCTGCAAAGTTAAAAGGCCACTTCTGTGAATAAATAAATCAATATGCACAAGCCATCATCACATCTGTACAATTGGTGTTGGTATTATCAATATTTACAATATTTACAGCTATTTACGATTTACATCAATGATCTAGACGAGGACATTGAATGTAACGCATCTAAATTCGCGGATGACACTAAACTAGGTGGGAGAGTAAGCACTGAGGATCATGCAAAAAGATTGCAACGGGATATAGATAGACTAGGGGAGTGGGCGAGTAGGTGGCAGATGGAATTTAATGTGGGGAAGTGTGAAGTTATTCACCTAGGTAGAAAAAATAGAAAAACAGATTATTTTCTAGAGGGGGAGAGATTAGGTAGTGCTAGTGTTCAGAGGGATTTGGGTGTCCTTGTACACCAGTCTCAAAAAGTTAGTTTGCAGGTGCAGCAAGCAACTAAGAAGGCGAACGGCACGTTAGCGTTCATTGCAAAAGGTTTGGAGTACAAGAGTAGGGAAGTCTTGGTGCAACTGTATAGGGCCTTGGTGAGACCGCACCTTGAGTATTGTGTGCAGTTTTGGTCTCCTTATTTAAAAAAGGACATACTTGCCCTAGAGGGGGTGCAGCGTAGATTCACTCGGTTAGTTCCTGGGATGAGGGGACTGACCTATGAGGATAGGCTGAATAAACTAGGGCTGTATTCTCTAGAGTACAGAAGAATTAGGGGAGAACTTATTGAAACATATAAGATTCTTAAAGGGTTGGATAAAGTAGACACTGAGGGTCTGTTTCCACTGGTGGGAGGATCTATAACCAGGGGTCACAGTCTTAAAATTAAGGGTCAACCTTTTAGAACAGAGTTGAGGAAACATTTCTTCACTCAGAGGGTAGTGAAGTTATGGAATTCACTACCCAGAAGGCTGTAGATGCTCAGTTCTTGAACATCTTCAAGGCTGAGAGTGATAGATTCTTGAAAAAACAGAGGGATTATGGGGATATGGGGATAGGGCAGATAATTAGAGTCAGGTCAGAAGATCAGCCATGATCTTATCGAATGGCGGGGCAGGCTCGAGGGCCAAATGGCCTACTCCTGCTCCTAATTCTTATGTTCTTATGTTCTAATAGCATCCAAAGCACTTAAAAAGTACAATTGTACGTTAAACTATATTACTGTGCAGCCCACTGAATATTAACGGATCCTGAGCCTACCCTTCCTTCTTCCCTGTAGGCATTTTGACTATTTTTCATAAAAATGCAGCATCTATCACGCCGTCCAGCCTTACCTCACAAGTGTCCATTGTTCATGTCTGGCCTCTGGGCCAATGAATTGTAAAATCACTTATATTTTACTCTGATTTTAATATCATGTCCCCTATCAATTGAAAGTATGGTGACTGTTCCACAAACAGCCATTATGTGAGTGGCCATTTTGTTCAGGGGATTGTCAGCCAGGACAAACACAGGGAAAGCTTTACAACAGTTTGATCTACAAAAACAAGCTTACTAATTTGACTTTATCTGAGCTTCCCTATGGTTTAATGCAAGCTAATGCTGCATCTAGTCTCTACCAGAATCTGGAACTCTCCCCCCCAAAAGGCTGTTGATGCTGGATCCATTCAATTTTTCAAGACTGAGATGAATAGAGATTTGTTAGGTCAGGGTATCAAGGGATATGGAGCAAGGATGGAGTTGAGGTACAGATCAGACATGATCTAATAGAATGGTGGCACAGGTTTGAAGGGCTGAATGGCCTACTCCTGTTCTTATGTTCCTATTTTCCAAAATTTCTGGCAGACAAAAAAACATTAAACCCATTAAACATGTCTGCAGAGCTCCTGGTCTGTGTTAAGTTTGCTATTATTTCTCTTAGATCTGCCTGTGCCACAAAGAATGGCAGTTCTCCAGATCTATGTCAGTACTGCTCAGGAATTGGCACAAAGTATATACCAGACAGCAACCTGGGGAGATCTACCAGCCGAGTTTTGCTCCCTGTGGTAAGTTTCCACTCATTGCCTTCCTTTACAGTGGTTTACGTAACTCACATTGGCTGGGATTAGAAATTTGCCACATGGAGAACTGCATCCTAACACTCAATGGTTTCAAACAGATTTTACTGACTGCTGTCTACTGTGACAAAGGAAATGTTCCATTCAGCAACAAGTCGCACACCATTAAGGGTTTAAAAAGAATTCCTGTTGAAATTGGTATCATTACTGGTGGCTTACCACTATTCACATTGCAAGTGCCTTACAATGGAAATAGCATTTTCTGCAGAAAATTCCACATATGTCACACCAACTCACAAGAGTTCTTCTCCAGGGTGATCTCAGGTCTCAGCTGAGATGTGACATAATGCGATTTGCCGCAGAAAATGTATTTTTAAAGGTCCTTCCTTTTTCAGTGAAACCACAAAATCCAGATGGCAACTGAGCTGTGAGATCATTCATTCATGATATGTAACTTTATTCTCTAGTTGAACAATGGTTCCTCTAACATAGAAATTAAAATGATATACCTGGCTTGACATTTTTCTCACAAATCAAGTGGTTCAGATCTGTGCAGAAGAAGTCATTCCACAACGCACTGTCAGGAAAGCCTGCACAGTCCTCTGTTGGCCCATAGATACTCCAGTTATCAGGCTGCCCAGGTCTCCAGTTTCTTGGAACAAAATTTGTTTGACAAATTAGTGCACAAATTAAACAGCAAGCAAATAAATGATTTCAAATAAATTTCAACTTAAACCTCTTATTGGTAATTGTTTTGGTAAGGGCTCTGGTGTGCTACCCCGCGTGAAGGTCACTATAGAAATGAAAGTTGTTGTTTTCAGACTTTTTTTAACCAAATAGTATTATTCTGCTTGAGGCACATCAAATAATACAACTGAAGTAAAATAAATGTCTTGATGCATTGAACAAGGGAAACTGAGCAAGGTGTGAGAAGAATTTTGAGACCATTGAAGAAATATGTTCTCAGAGCTGTTTGAAAGTCAGGAGAGAGGTAGAAAAATAAAGTGATATCAGAAGAGAGCGGTGGCTGAAAGTTGAATGCATATGAAGTCAAGAAAATTACAACATGTGTCTGGCCCTGGGAATGCCTTCCGAGCCCACTTCTGCTTCTATCACAGTGGCTGTGCCACCATTGTAACAATCTAAGGAAGCAGAGGGAGGTGGAAAGGCAAAGGTCACACTCACAAGACATCGACAGACACCGAATATTCCAAGCACCAGTGATGCTTATCACATCACACTGTAATTTTCACCCCAAAGATAACAATAAATAGATAAGCTGTTGATTCTTTACCTCCCCCACAAAACACATAAATGTTTGGAGCAGTGTTCAGCGCTGATTGGCTTAACACCAGGTTGTAAATAAGACTGCTGTTCCCAGTTTCCACAGAATATTCAAGGAAACTTTAAGGCTCATGGGCACTGACTGTGACATCTAGGGCTAATAATAATAATAATGATCCTTACATTCATGTTGAAAGGTGCTTCACAAGATTTACTATAAAGTCGAGTGACTGTGTGTTTTGAGAGTGACCAGGCAGTAAGCTCATTGTATGTGGAAAATTAGTTCCCAAAGTTTCTTAAATATGGTGCGCAATGTAAAAAAAATTGCTTACAATATAGAGTAAAACATAGCTCAGTGACCTGAGACATTTCCTGTTACTTTATTTTGTTGCTCATTCACTTTTTACATAAATTTCTCTGTTGTGTCAAGATGTCCTGTACTATTCACCAACTTCACTTGAGAGCTTTACATTCAGTAGTCATAGATATTTACAGTGCTGAAGGAGGCCTTTAGCCTATCAAGTTGGCACTGGCATTCAGAGCAAACTTTCCATTCAATTCCACTTTCCTGGCCTGTCCCAACACCCCTTCATTACACTGCATTTCACTTTTTTTATGAATCAAAGCAATCAAGGTACGATAAATTAGTCCTATTTAGCCATTAGTGGTATTACATTTCATAATAGAATACACACATACGTGTACTCTGCAGTTGTTCCGTCAACCCATTTCCATTCATTTTCCTTCTCAGTATCTGTTAGACCAAGCCAATAGAAACCTGTTCTGTTAATCTGTCTTCTCAGCCATTGCTGTAAATATCAAAATACATTAACATTAGTTTAACACATCTTAAAAAAGTTATTTAACTGTTATTTTCAAGTTTGCACATTAGCATATGAATCATCATTTTTTAGGAGTCTCTCAAAAGTATTCCACTGTGTTAAACACTTCAATATATTAGATCTTTCATTCAGTCGGTCAACATTCGCTGAAACAGAGGCTTGAGTATCGAACAATGATTGGTGCAATCAAATTAAAAATTTAATATTCTCAGAACTGATTTCATTCACTGTAGGGTGTTAGCCCCAAAGCAAATTCTAAGAAGGGGATCCAGATCAATTATATAGAGTTACTATGGGTTTGATTCTGTGTGATTAAATGCATTTAGGGCCAGAAAAATGAAACCTATGTACAATGAAAGGATGGTCATTATAAAAGACATAAAAGGATTGATGTTGTCATCAGCATTTGTTAATGGTGTCCAGATATTCATCTAAAGGAACGGCGTTTGCATATAAACCAAATTATCCTAAGCATAGCCTTGAGGCTACATTATAATAATAATCCTTTTAATTGATATAGCAACTTTCATGTCGGGAGATTGTGTCAAAGTGCTTCTCAGAATTTATTGTAAAGTGTAGTGACTGTGTATTATGTATTATGCATATTTGGAATATTGGGGCCCTGTTTTGGAAACCCTACCTGCAAACGGACAATGATGCATTGGAGAGAGTTCAGAGAAGGATGAGGATGACTTGAAGATTTAGAGTTCAAAGTTATCGAGAAAAACTCATAAAACTGAATTTATGTGTGTAAGTAAGATTAATATATGCAGGGATGTATTATAATCCAATTGGCAAAGGTTAAGAGAAAATATTGTAAATCTAGTGGGTCTTAACTCAAATTCACTTTATTTGAGAACTAAATAAAAGCTTGTAGGCTTAAGTACAACAACAGAAATATTTGCAGTTCTGGTCTTTTCAATCAGTACCTGTTCTTCGCGATTCTTAACTATTAGCATGTGGGAAGACATGTTCTTGCATAAATTCCTTCCCTCTTCAAACTCATACTTATCATCTGAGAAGTAGTAACATTTGTCCTTAAAGTTCCTCCATCTAGGCGACAACCTTTAAGAAAGCAAAGGTAAGGGGATTAATAATGCCATATGAGAGTTGTACAAGAAAATGTAACAGTTTCTTCAGTTGCAGATTGCATGCACATGGCAATGAGTCAGCACCAATTATACCCTCCTGGGCGTGTGGGAAAGTGCTGACTGAGTGGTTAAGATCAGGCAGACACAGGGGATTCAGGGACATGAACCTGCAAAATGCAGTATTTTGGTAAATTCTGAAGCTATGTTTCCGCAATTGTTTTTGAATGTAAGGCATTTCTGAAATTCTGCACAATCATAAATGTTTTGGACAATAATCTTTTAAGTTTTAGACCATGAGGAATATTGGGCCTCGGGAGTGGTGATCTGGCTGATTTTCTGCCCGCACACATGGTGTTCTGAAGCCAATTATAATACTTGTGGTGCCAATTAATTTACACAGTCCAGGGATTGAATCCGAGACATTCTCAGTCCTTGGCTCTTCAATGGGCTGAATCTCTTCCTATGCTCTAATTTCTATGTTGACCAGCTATTTAAGTTCTTACTTGGAAATATCTATTTTTAAAGCCTTCATGTACAAGAGTGATCACTGAATATTGAGAGCTGTCTTAATTTAGGGAAATGGGATCTACCATGAAGCAATAAAATAGGAAACAGGCTTGATGGGCAGATTGGCCTGCTTCTATGTTACTAGATACACATGTGATGAATTAATTAACCTTAGACATAATGAATCATCACCAGTTGAATTCATACTGATTTGTAACTTGGCGTAGTAGGAGTATTTGATGTCTAAAACTAATGAAGCAAGAACAGCATTTTGCACCATAAATTCCAACAAACCTTGCTCAAATATTCTTTGTGAGTTAGGCATGAACAGAAATGACAGCAATTTGTATTCCAGGAGGTGATTGAACAATTCTTACCATGATTTGGGGAGACTTCTGTTGCATTATGGCTTATTAGTGCTACAGGACCAGGAGGACCTGGTGAACCAGGCGGCCCTTTGGGTCCAGGTGGTCCAGGTGGTCCTGTGGGTCCTACAATTCCAGGGACCCCCGGTGGACCTTGAACACCAGGTTGTCCTGAAGCACCTGCTTTGCCTGGTGCACCTTCTGGGCCTGAGACGCCTGGGTTTCCTTTAGCTCCTGGTAAACCGGGTCTTCCAGCTGAACCCTTTTGTCCCTTTGAACCAGGAGATCCTCTTGCTCCCTGACTTCCACTCTCTCCTCGAATACCTGGGAGTCCTCGAGAACCTTTTCGACCCATTAATCCAGGTAGTCCTACCTCCCCTTCGTCACCTTTTTCTCCTTTTGTTCCAGTAAGGCCGATTGACCCCTGTGGCCCTTTGTCACCTTTGGGCCCTCTTGGACCAGGAGGACCTGCAATGTCATTTACAAACATATTTTTTGCAAGTTTTAATAGGAAATAATGTAATGTCAAAATATTTTTCCTTAGCGCATACCAGTTACATCTCTTAAACAGACTTTGACTATTACTCTATGTGTATTCAAAATAAGATAACAAGTTGAACCCATTTAAGTCTATATTTTACAACTGGATCTATTTTAGGAAAATATATAGCGTAAACTACAAGAACAATCAAAGAATAACTCTAGAATATTTATTTATCCTCAAATTTCCACTATTCAAATCTGGCTTCCTCTCTCCTTCAATAAAGTACCACTCCACCCCCGCCTCACAACCAGCAATAAAAAATTATGCCCTATGCTGTATGTGTTCCTTAAACAAGATCATAAGATTGGTTTGGATGAAGCAACTCCGTTAAATAGAATAGAGAAACATTTCTGCTGGCAACAATCCATTGTTGAACCACAACAAATGTACACAGTACCCATGACATTCTTTGGTTGAACCCTTTATAGTCAGAATCAGCACATTGATACAATGCATCTTATACTGTGTATTAGTTTAACAGCAACAACGCTGGAGTTCTGTAGCTCAGTGGTTAGAGCACTCACTTTGCAAGCGAGAGAACTGAGTTCAATTCCAGGCAGGGCGAAACCTTGGGCAAGTTTCCTTACTCCACACAGAGCCTAATAATAATCCCTCCAAAAAACCAAAAACAATAATAAATTGGTCATTTTCAATCTACGACTGTTTGTGGGACATTGCTGTGCGCAATTGGCTGCCGCGTTCGCCCACAAATATACAGTCAATTCACTTTACAGTGTGTTCTGTGAAGCGCTTTGGGACGTCCTCCCGACGTGAAAAGTGCTATATCAAATGCAAGGATTATTATTATTATTATTATTATAATGCAAGCCTGTGATTTTTCAGCTCCTGTTACAGTTCACGGTAGCTCCTGACTGAATGTAGCACTTTCTCAAATCTCCCAATTATGTTGTTATTCAATACATTCAACCTTTAAACTGGGAGATTTCTGACAAACAGAGAGGATGGCAGTCTTGAATTAGCGAATCAGGTATCATCATTTAGAGAGTTACATAAAATGATAATGGCATGGAACCAGGCTATTCGCCCAACTAGTCCGTTTCACTGTCTATAATCCACACAAAGCCCCACTCTTCCTACCAGTTGTGGACTGTATGCAAAATACTCTTACCTTGAAGAATAGTGAAGTTTTGTATCAACTGAGCGTGTTTTGTGTCCACCAGTTTCATTTCTTCCATGATCATAGACAGGTTGGCCACTTCGATATCCAACCTGGCCCTCATTACGTTCTGCTGGATTTTGAGGAATGAGCTATCCACGCGGATGCTGCCCATGGTACTGCTCAGAATTGCTAGCTTGTCTGCATGTTCGTTCAATGTATTGGTGCAAGTGGTTTTAAGGGCATTCAGACTGCTGGTCAGTGATCTCAAATGCTGGACAGTCCAGCTGATGTTGCCAATGATGTTGCTGATGTCTCGCTCGTTCACATCCATCCGCCCTTCAAGTTGCTCAAAGCCAGCAGAAGTTTTGTTTTCATGAGTTTTTTGATACTGCTGTAGATCTTTGAGCCCTTGCTCATGAATGTTAGCCATGAAGCTAATATTCTCCATCTGGCTGCTGAGAGAGTTTAGCTGGCTATTCATGTCTGCCAATGTCTCATTGTTACCTGTCGCCATGATTGAGTTGTTCATGGCCTGTAACTGCAGGTATTGCACTTTCTCTTTGAGCCAGTCCGTATCCTTCCATGCTTGAAGCACATTCTGTTGGAGAGCCTGCCAATCATTTCTTGTCTTTTGCATGGCTTGACTGCTGGTGTCAACAGATTTTTGCAGTGCACTGAGTAAATCTCTTTGCTGAATTTGTGTCCGATTCAGCTGACCGAGATTCACCACTACAGTGCCTTGAGATTGAGTTTGTCTTTGCATCTCATTCTGCACCTTGCCAGTGTTTTGCTGGAGGCTGCTGATGTATCCACTGTATGTCAGCAAGGTCTGGTTTATGTCCCGGATAGACCTAGAGTTACTGTCCAACATACTTTTCAGTGAGTTGTGATTTGTTGCCATTGATTGTCCAGACTCTTGCAACTTGTCCAATGCAGCGTTGTTTTTGGAGGCCTTGCCTGCGATGTCATTGAGCTGCTTCTGAAGGACTTGGATATCCGATTTGAATTTAGAGAGCTCTGTACTGGTACTTTGGTCCTTTACACCAGAGTGATCATCTAAAGGGGTAACATGGTGTAAATGGAAAAGTAGCAAAATAATAATAATAGCATTTGATAAAGTGCATTATAACATCATCAAATTGGAGTGTCAGAATAGCATATGTGCTCCAAGTCCCGACATGGAACTTCAACCCATAACCTTCTGACTCAGCGGAGAGAATGCTGACACACAGTTAGCATCGTCATGGTTAATTACAATGATATTAAAAGTAGCTGAGGCTGTCATTAGCAACTACTGTACCTTCTCTTTCCTCAGTGTCCAGAAAGAGATTAAGCATCATTCCACTATGTAAACAGTGTGTTCCACACAATGTCACAAGACTTGTGGGCCAGTGAGAATTCAGGTGCTCGCTGGAATCCTTCGGCTCCATGTGCTGTGGAGCGGACTACATGGAGAAATTTGGAAGCTGTTTTTTTTTAAGGACTGTCAAAAACAGACTACCAAATTAAGGGTTTTCCACAAGTCTGCACAATTTTACATTTTAAGACAAAATAACCTCACAGGCTAAGATTAGATGGAATTTCAGGTCTCTGATGTTCACAAATGCTCACTCTCCAGCAGACATCAAACACATTAGATACTGATCAGGTTTTCATTCCCTTCCCCCCAGAGCTTAAGGGTTCTCTTGTCAGTTAATGGTTGGTTGGATTGACGCCATAGGGTTCTGCAACCAAATCCCACACAATCTTTACTCTACAGTCACCTCCCCTTTTTCCCTGGCTTGGCATCAAATTATGCCATTGTTCAGCGCTCTTAAGATGCTACACTTTGTGTATGAAGGTCACTCTTTAAATGTAAGTTGTTTAGTGGTTGATAAAAAGTGTACCATGTCTGAAAATATCTTCCTATCTTCCTGTGAGAAAGGGAGGGGCAACAAAGAATACAGACTCTCCCTGGAGCTGAAGTGGCTCTGAGGAGAAACTCCAGGTAGAATCATATAATCATAGAATATTGCAGCACAGAAGGAGACCATTTGGCTCATTGTGCCTGTGCTGGCTCTTTGGAAGAGCTACCCAATGAGTCCCACTCGCCCACTTTTTCCCCATATGCCTGAAAATGTTTCCTTTTCAATTAGCTATCCAAATCCCTTTTAAAAGTTGCTATTGAATCTTGTTTCCACCACCCTTTCAGGCAATGGATTCCAGACCGTAACAACTCTGTATAAAAAAAATTCTTCTCATCTCCCCTCTGGTTCTTTTACCAATTATCTTAAATCTATGTGCCCTGTTTACTGACCCACCGTTCAGTGGAAACAGTTTTTCCCTATCTACTCTATCAAAACCCCTCATAATTTTGTACACTTCTATTAAATCCCCCATTAACCCTCTCTGATCTAAGAAGAACAATCCCAGCTTCTCTAGTCTCTCCAATTAACTAAAGTCCCTCATCCCTGGTACAATTCCTGTAAATCGCATCTGCACCCTCTCTAAGGCCTTGATATTCTTGGAGGTCCACAGTAATTCAAAACAGATGTAAGAGATGTAGACATGTACTCAACCATGCAAACTAAAGCCCTATTGGTTAGGATGGTCCTAGCTGGACAAGTGGTGGGCCACCTGGTTACTACTTATTACATTCTGAGCCAAATATCTGTTTTCAGTGACTAAATGAACAGTGGCACACTTTTAATTTGAGAATAAACAGCATTTGGGGGGCTATTTATTTATAATTAAATTAGATGTTATTTGAACATCCAACTCAAACCCAACAGCTGGAATGTGTTACCAGGAAGAATGATTAAGACTGGGATACTGCACTGATTTAAGAAACAGTTTGATGCTGTAATGGAAAGAGAAGACAATAGGATTGGAATTCTGAAAAAATGAAATCAAAGGGACTGTAATTTTTTTTATCCAAACCTCTTGTGATTTTATGATCTGACCAGAAGGTGCCTTGCAATGAATGCTCTCCAGTGACACTGGAGGTTGGTTATAGAATTGCAGTACAAAGCAGCTTGTAGAAAACTGCTTTACTAGTGCAGTTCCTTGAATGACGAAGGAACATAAGAAATGTTACAAGAAAAAAGACCAAGGTCCATCTAGTTCGCCTTTCACCTTTCTGTAAGTCACATGCACATATTGCCCAAACTACCTATGTAATATATCCCATAATGTTATTTCCTAATGGAAAACTATCTAATCTGTGTTTGAAAAACGAGTGTAGCAATAGATCACTGTTAAAGAAAGCCCTCTCTCACACCAACAGCTTGTGGGTTCAAGACCTATGTTGAAACTTGGAATCACATAGTCTAAGCGGACATGACAATACAGTGCTGGGGGAGTGTTGCATTATCTGAGGTGCCGCCCTTTGGATGAGACGTTAAATCAAGGCCTCGCCTGCTTGTTCAGACGGACATTGAAGATCGCATGGCATTATTCAAAAAGAGAAGAGTTTCTCAGTATAATAAATGTTACATTTTGCATTAGAATCATAGAATTATACAGCACAGAAGGAGGCCATTCGGCCCATCGTTTCTGTACAGGCTCTTTGAAAAGAACTACCCAAATCAATCTCACTCACACGCGCTCTCCCCATAGCCATGCAAACTTGTCCTCCCCAGATAATTATCTACTTCTCTCTTAAAAGTTGTTATCAAATTGACTTCCACCACCCTTTCAGGTAATGCATTCCAGATCCGAACTACTCGCTGCGTGAAAAAATTTCTCCTCACCTCCCCTCTATGTCTTTTAACAACTATTTTAACAACAACAACAAGATTCCATTTATAGAGCGCCTTTCACGTCAGGAGGACGTCCCAAGGCGCTGTACAGTTGGGTCAGGATCCGAGCAGGGGGGAAATGGTCAGGGTGAGGGGAGAGAAGGGAGGGAGCGAGGAGGGGGTAGAGAGTCGAGAGCGGAGCTGAAGGCACGGTCAAAGAGAAAGGTCTTGAGACCGGCCTTGAAGGAGGAAAGGGAGGAGGCGGCGAAGGCACTGGGGGATAGAGTTCCAGAGCCTAGGGGCTGAGAGGCTGAAGGCCGGGCCACCGATGGTAAGGCGGGGGATGTGGAGCAGACCGGAGCCAGAGGAACGGAGGGTACGGGCAGGTAAGTAGGAGGATAGTAGGTCGGAGAGGTAGGAGGGAGCAAGGCCGTGAATGGCCTTGTAGGTGAGGATGAGCATCTTGAATTCGATCCTCTGGGGGATGGGGAGCCAGTGGAGGCGAGCGAGGGTGGGGGTGATGTGGTCGCGAAGCCTGGTGCGGGACAGTACACGAGCTGCAGAGTTCTGAATGACCTGCAGCTTGTGAAGGGAGGTGCTGGGAAGGCCGGCGAGGAGAGAGTTCCCATAGTCCAGCCTTGAGGTGATAAAAGGCGTGGACCAGAGTTTCAGCAGCGTGAGGGGTGAGGTAGTGCCGTAGTCTGGCGATATTCCGGAGGTGATGGAAGGCGGTGCCAGTTGTGGCGCAGATGTGAGGAAGAAAGGACAGCTCAGGGTCGAACAGAACACCGAGGTTCCTGACTGGCTTTGAGAGGTGGAGAGTGCAGCCTTGGATGCTGATGGTGTCAGCGCCTGAGGTGCGGAGGCGCTGACGTGAGCCAATCAGGAGGGCCTCAGTTTTACACACGTTGAGCTGAAGAAAGTTGTCTCTCGTCCAGGACTCGATGTCGGACAGGCAGGCTGTCAGGACATCAGTGGTTGTGGAGTTGAGGGTAGAGGAGGAAAGGTAGAGTTGGATGTCATCCACATCCATGTGGAAGTTAACCCCAAGTCTGCGGATGATGTCACCGAGGGGGAGCATATAGAGGGTGAAGAGGAGGGGACCGAGGACAGAGCCCTGAGGGGCACCGCACGAGACAGTGCGGGGGGTGGAGGAAAAGCCATTCGTGGAAACAAAGTGAAGACGGTGGGAGAGGTACGACCTAAACCACTCAAGGACAGGGCCTTGAAGGTTGAGGTGGGAGGACATGCGGTGGAGGAGAATAGCGTGGTCGACCGTATTGAATGCTGCCGATAGGTCGAGGAGGACGAGGAGGCAGAGGGAGCCCTGGTCACAGATGGTCAGGATGTCATTGGTGACCTTGACCAGGGCAGTTTCTGTGCTATGGGCAGCACGGAAACCCGACTGAAGGGGTTCGAATAATGAATGGGTGGAAAGGAAAGAGCGCAGCTGGGAGGCGACAACTCGTTTATTTTAAGTCAGTGTCCTCGGGTTATTGACCCACCCGCCACTGGAAATAGTTTCTCCTTCTTCACCCTTTCAAATCCCGTCATAATTTTGAAAACTTCTATTAAGTCTTCTTTAACCTTCTCTGCTCCAAGGAAAATAATCCTAGCTTCTCTTGACATTCTTCCTAAAGTATGGTGCCCAGAACTGAACACAGTACTCTAGCCAAGGCCTAACCAGTGTTTTATAAAGGTTCATCATAACTTCCTGACTTTTGTATTCTATGGCCCTATTTATAAAGCCTGGTATCCGGAATGCTTTTTTTTGACAGCTTTATCTACACTGCCCTGTCACCTTCAAAGATTTACTTATATGAATCCCCAGATCTCTCTGTTCCTACACCCCCTTTAAGATTCTACCATCAGCTTATATTGCCTCTCCTCATTGTTCCTCCCAAAATGCATTACTTCGCATTTCTCCACATTAAACTTCATCAGCCAAGTGTCTGCCCATTTTATCAGTCTGTCTATGTCCTCTTGCAGTCTGCTACTATCCTCCTCATTGTTTACTACTTTTCCTAGCTTAGTATCATCTGCAAACTTGGAGACTGTACTCCCTATACCCAAGTCCAGGTCATTTATATAGATCAAAAACAGCAGTGGTCCAATTACCGACCCCTGGGGGACACTACTGCACACTTCCCTCCAGTCAAAAAAAACCCGTTAAAAATCACTCTCTGCTTTCTGTCTCCCAGCCACTTCTGTATCTAGAACTTTATCAAATGCCTTTTGAAAGTCCATATAAACTAGATCAACTGCACTATCTTCATCCACCCTCTCCGTTACTTCATCAAAAANCTTTATCAGGTTTGTTGGACATGATTTGCCTTTAACAAATCCGTGTTGACTATCCTTTTTTAACCCATACTTTTCTAAGTGAAAATTTATTTTGTCCCAGATTATAGTCTCTAGAAGTTTCCCTATTACTGACATTAGGCTGACTGGCCTGTAGTTCCCAGATTTATCCTTCGACCCCTTTTTGTACAGGGGAGTAACATTTGCAACCCTCCAGTCCTCTGACACCACCCCGGTATCCAAGGAGGATTGAAAGATTGTGGCCAGAGCCTCCAATATTTCCACCCTTACTTCCCTCAGTAATCTAGGATGCATCAAGTCTGAACCGGGTGACTTATCTATCTTGAGCACCGTCAACCTTTTTAGTATCTCCTCTCAGTTTATTCTTATCTTATCCAATTTCTCTACCCTCTCCTCCGATACTAAGGCATTGGCTGCATCCTCTTCTTTTGTGAAGACAGATGCAAAGTACTCATTCAGGACGTCAACCATGCCCTCTGCCTCCACAAGAAGATTTCCTCTTTGGTCCCTAATTGGACCCACCCTACTTTTAATTGATCTTTTATTCTTTACATGCTTATAAAATACCTTAGGGTTCCCTTTTATGTTACCCTCTAATCTTTTCTCATACAATCTTTTTGACCCTCTTATTTCCTTTTTCAGTTCTCCTTTATACTTTTGTTATTCTATTTGATTATCTTCTGTATTTTGGACCTGACATTTATCATAAGCTTCCTTATTCTGTTTTATTTTAATCCCAATTCCTTTTCATCCAGGGAGATTTGGATGCCCTACCTTTCTCTTCTGTGGGAAAGTATTTGTTCTGTTTGTGAACTAGCTCCTCCTTGAAGGCTTCCCATTGCTCATTAGCTGTTTTACCTGCCAATCTTTATTTCCAGTCAACCCTTTTTAACTCACTGAAATTAGCCCTCTTCCAATTGAGTATCTTCACCTTTAAGTGTTCTTTGTCCCTTTCCATAAATACTCTAAACCTAATGTTATTGTGATCACTGTTGTCCAGATGCTCTCCTACTGAAACGTACTCCACTTGTCCCACTTCATTCCCCAGAACTAGATCCAGCACTGCTTCCTTCCTCAATGGGCTGGAAACATATTGATCCAGAAAGATATTCTGCACACATTTCAGGAATCCTTCTCCCTCCTTACCCTTTCCATTGTTATTTTGCCAGTCTATGTTAGGATAATTGAAGTCCTCCATTATCACTGCTCTATTGGTTTTGCATCTCTGAAATCTGCTTGCAGATTTGCTCATCTACCTCTTTCCCACTATTTGGTGGTCTATAGTATACACCTAACAGAGTAACAGCTCATTTTCTTCTCCTTAACTCTAACCAAATAGATACTGTTTTTGGATCTTCTAGCACATTGTCCCATTCCAAGGCTGTAACTGTGTCTTTAATCAATATTGCCAACCCCCCTCCACCCTTCTTTTTTTCCTTCCCTATCCCTCCTGAATACACTGTAGCCAGGAATATTCAGGTCCCATTCCTGCCCTTGTTTGAGCCAGATCTCCGTTATTGCCAGTACATCATAACCCTATGTGGCAGCTTGAGCTAATCTTATTTGTCACACTCCGTGCATTTACGTACATGGGCTTCAAGGCCGACTGAGTCCGTTCTGCATTTCTCCCCCATCTAATCCCTTTTTTCTGGACTGTTCCTTATCACATTGCTATTCATCTCTCCCAGCCCTCTATGTAATGTGTTTCTCCTCTTTGATGCTACATCCTGATTCCTTTCCCCCCTCAAAATTAGTTGAAACGCTTCCCCGAGGACATTAGTCACAGCCCTGTTCAGGTGTAACCCATCCATCTTGTACAGGTTCCACCTGCCCCAGAACTGGACCCAATATTCCAGGAACCTGAAGCCCTCCTTTCTGCACCATTTCTCCAGTCATACATTCATGTGTTTGACCCTGCTGTTTTGATACTCAGTTGCACGTGGTACTGGGAGCAATCCAGAGATCACCACCTTTGAGGTCCTACTCTTTAGCTTTTTCCCTAGCTTCTGATACTCTCCCTGTAGGATCTCAGCCCTCTTTTTCTCTACCTCATGGATCCCAACATGGACCACGACTTCTGGATGTTCCCCTTACCCCTGAAGAATGTTTTGCATCTGTTCCAGGGTGTCTTAAATCCTGGCACCAAGGTGACAACATACCATGTGAGAGTCTTTGGTTGCAGAAACATCGGTCTATTTCTTTCACCATTGTGTCCCCAATGACAATTGCATTGACATTCTTCCTGGTGTCCCCTTTTGCATCAATTTGCTTTTAACTCCTTTCCCCAGAGGTGTCATCACCCTGACTAGTATTCTGTACAAAGAACCGGTTTGTGAGTGCCACACATTCAGGAGATTTCTGCACTGCACGTCCCCTCTTCTACCATGCCGGGTGGTCACCCACTCCCCCTCCTTCTGAACCCTCTGTGGCTGTAGGGTGACCACCTCCTGAAATGTTCGATCCATGAACCCTTCAGCCTCTCGTATGCTATGTAGTGACTCCAGCCTCTCCTCAAGCTCAGAATCCCTGAGCTCAAGCTCAAGCAGCCGGAAGCACTTCCTGCACATATAATAATCCTTGCATTTGATACAGCGCTTTTCACGTCAAAAGGACGTCCCAAAGCGCTTCACAGAACACACTGTAAAGTGAATTGACTGTATATTTGTGGGAGAATGCGGCAGCCAATTGTGCACAGCAATGTCCCACAAACAGTCGTAGATTGACAATGACCAATTTAATTATTGTTTTTGTTTTTTGGAGGGATTATTATTATTAGGCGTGTGGAGTAAGGAAACTTGCCCAAGGTTTCGCACTGCCTGAAATTGAACTCAGGTCTCTCACTTGCAAAGCGAGTGCTCTAACCACTGAGCTACAGGACTCCAAATATGTTTGTCCAGGGCACTCAAAGCATCTTGGAGTTCCCACATGGCACACGTTGTGCATGCAACTGGTCTCGTCTGTCCTGCCATATTCCTAGACATGTTTTATATTATTTTAATATAAATATTATATATTTTATAATTATGCACCTCTTTCCCCCTCTACACTGAATTCCCACTATCACCAACTTCCTTAACAGAATTCTCACTCTGTTCCACCTCACTCAGTTCCTTCCTTATGCTGCTGGGCTCTCTGCTCATTGTTAATGGGTTGATCAAGCCTTAGTCATTTTGTGTTGAATCCAATGTATCCTTTTGCAAAACTAAAATAAGATGCTGTCAGGGTGCTATTTTCACAGAAGTGTGAGTATGAGCTAAAATTCCATTGCTGTTCATATAGTGGTGGCCAACCACCAAGAAACAGTCTTTGAACATTCACACGAGTCTAAGTAAGTCCATATTTGATCAATAGTGTGCTTTCAGTTCTTTATTGATTGAATATTTTGGATTTATGGCATAAATTAAGAAATATTCAATCAAGAAAATGTATTTTGTTGGCCAACCATAATGGTTGGCTTCACATTTGTCATTGGCAGCTTTAGTCACTGAAGAGAGTTGAAGAGACGATACATTCTTTTCAATGTTTCATGTATGTAAATATTGGGTAAGGAAAGAATTGGGCTTGGCTGCAGTTCCCCTATTGCTACATAGCAAACCAGCATTCATTATCTTAGCTCTCACTGGAAAAATGGGCACGTGGACAAGATACTCAATCTCATTTAAAATCTCATGGCTCATTGCTCATTCTTCTAACACTGGAGTAATCCTCTTGCTCTCCTCTGCATCACTGTATGCAGCTTGTATCTGTGCTGTTTTTAATACTGGCCATAGTTCTTTTTATAAACAGGAACACAGATCGCAAAGATAAAATACAGATTGAAATGATACCTTCAGTTACTTTGGTAAAGTACCGTTAAAACTGAATGTAGCTTTATTTTAATAGATGTTCTCTTCATCTTTCCTTCTGGCAGAGAAAGCTTGGTAAAACTTACCGAGTTTTTTCAAGTTGCTCTCCACTGCGTGCAGTTTTTCTGAGTAGTTCTTGTGCGAGGATTCTATACCTTCAGTCACAGTGTCCATTCTCTGTACAACTGGAACAACACAGGAAGAGAGTGAGTGAATTTCATATCACAGCAAGCGTATCAATGATGTTTATTAATCTATTGGTGTCTGTATCAGCTCAGGACAGACTTCTGCCTTGAATGGGAAGCTAAAAGCCAAAATCCCACCTAATGTTCCATTCCTTTCAAGGCTATTCTGTGCTGCTCTCCTTTTCAGTGACAAAGAGAAATTCAGCAGGTGAGGCAAGCATCAAAGGAGGTTAAGATACAATTCCACTAGAAACAGAAACTGCTGTTTTTCTCTCTTAATCTCAGAAATTTCTATGTCTGTCTCTTGGCTACTGCATTAACCTACAAAACTCTCAGTCATTACACTTTATAAATATGTCCTGTGAAGTACTTTGATACATCCTACCGAAATGAAAGTTTCTATATCAAATATAAGTATTATTATGATTTTATTATGATTTTATTATGAGCGAACAGGTCACATATCTCCAAGACACTTTGAACAAAATATGATATTGCAAGTAGGCGGTACACTTCCTGTGGAATCATAGGGTCACTGCATGAAGCTGAACCATTGTATGGGATACAGCGAAGCTGGAAGCCAGCTGAAACCAGCAAGACTTGTGACATGTCGTAGAATAAGTTTAGGTGTCAGCGAGACTCAGTTTAGCACTTTCTCCTCTGGGTCAGAAGGTTGGGTGTTGAAAGCCTCGGTCAGGACTTTGATGTCATAGACTAGGCGGACACGCCAGTGTAATGCTGGAGGATTGTTGTATTGTTGGAGGTGCCTCAGTTGAGACAAAATAATTAAAATTATTCATTAATTTCATGGTTATTTGTGGGACCTTGATGCAAATTGACTGTTGCATTCTTGTACAAAAATCATACAAAATCCAGTCACTATATTTTACAGTGAAGCACTTTGAGCTGTCCTCCTGATGTGAAAGGCACTATATCAAATGCAAGGATTATTTTATATTGTTCGATTTAAGAAGAGATTGATGTTGTGATGGCCTGCCTACACAATCAATGTTGTAATCTTGGTCTGCCATTTGGACTAATATCAATTACAATTCCAAAAGAGGGGTTGCCATAATGTGGCATACCAATCAGTTCTGATAAAAAGGTTTTTGGTAGCACAGGTTTGTGCTGTGTTGGTGGAGGTGCCATTCCTTCGGATGAGATGTTAAACCAAGGGTTCCATATCCCTGTTTTAGGCAGACTTAAAAAGTAAAGATACCATGGCACTATTCAAAAACAAAAGGAAGTGTCTCCCAGTGCCCTGGCCAACAATCCCCCAAATAAAGTTGGTAATTCACATCATGGCTTTTTGTGTGCAAATTGGCTGCTGTGGTTGCCTACAAAATATTCAGTAAATCTTGTGGGTTGCTTTTAGAAGTTCTCCCAATGTGAAAGGTAAATGCAAGGATAATTATTATTAGTAAGAGTATTAATAACAACAATAATAATAATCTATAATAATAACATCTGTTGGAAGGACATCCCGGGATCCGTTACTGTGAAGCGCTCTGAGACGCCGTCCGGTGTGGAGGGCGCTATATTAATCCAAGTTGTTGCTGTTGTTATCTCAAAGCAATTCACAAGATATACTGTAAAGTGTAAGTGACTGTATTTTGTGGGCAAACGCTGAAGTTAATTTTGTGAACAGCAATTTTCCATGGAGTGAATGACCAATTTTATTTGGGGGATTGTTGAGCAGGACATTTGGAAAAACTCCCTTCTCTTTTTGAATAGAGCCAAGCAATGTTTAATGTCCACCTGAACAGGAAGATAAAGCCTTGATTTAACATCTCATCCAAAGAGAGGCCCCTCCAACATTGTAGCACACCCCCAGCACTGCATTGGAATATCAGTGTCAGTTATATGAGTTCCAAATCCCGATGTGGAGTTTGAACCCACAACCTCCTGATTCAGAGATGAGAGTGCCTCCCACTGAGCTAGACTGAAGCAGGCAACACTGTTCAACTGGAGTATTCATCAAACTAACATTCATTTGTTTAGGTAAATCTGATATCAGTATTTAGTGAATTAATGTTTGGGCCACCACATCAGATTGGGGTCAAAGATAAAATGCCTATAAAGAGGTTATGAATCAATGGTACATCTGAAACTCGTTGCTGCAATGAAAGATCATGTGGAGGTTCTACTCTCTGTGGAGGTTCATTTAATTGACCTTCTCACCCTTTAAGATTTTTTTCATTTTTAAAGGTTCATGTTTATTTTCTGGCAAGCATGTGTGTTTTATGGCATCTTTAGCCTCTGCTGCATTCAATTCATTAATTCACTTAACTTTATTCAGCCAAGTCTGCTATGCTCACTATATTGACAGGAAATTTCATGGTACACGCAATCTGGAAATAATTATAAGAATGATGAAGCAATTCTTGTCTGCAAAATATATGCACAGCATGGAAATTTCGACTGAAATAAGAGGCGATAATGTGAAAATAACATGCTTTGGGAGAATATTGCTTTTGTTTCTCATTGGCTGAATTTAAATTTTACAAGGATTTCACATATTCCGCTTACTCAAATGCAAAAGATAGTGGGAACGCAGAGACCTGGGAGAAATACAAAAGGCAACAAAGGGAGACGAAGAAAGTAATAAAAGGAGCAAAAAAGGGAGTATGAACAAAAACTTGCAGGGGACATCAAAACCAATAGTAAGAGCTTTTATAAATATATCAAGAGAAAGAGAATGGTAAAGGCGAATGTGGGTACATTAAAGACAGATACAGGTGAGACTATAATGGAAAATAAAGATATGGCTGACTTGCTAAATAAGTACTTTGCTACAGTTTTTACAGTAGAAAAGGACGAAATACCAAGCATACAAAGGAACCTGAAAATAAGTCAAAAAGAAATACTTAATAAACTAAATATAAATTTAAAAAATGGTGATGGAGAAAATAATGAGACACAAAATAGGCAAATCTCCAGGATCTGACAATTTCCACCCCAGGGTATTAAAGGAAATAGAAGAGGAAATTGCAGATGCATTGGTCATGATTTTCCAAAGTTCACTAGATTCAGGAATTGTGCCCTTAGATTGGAAAATTGCCAATGTCACCCCTTTATTTAAGAAGGGAGGGAGGGAGAAACCAGGAAATTACAGATCTGTTAGTTTAACGTCAGTTGGAGGGAAATTACTGGAATCCATCATCAGGGACAGAGTGACTGAACACTTGGAGAGGTATGAGCTTACATGGACTTTCAGAAGGCATTTGATAAGGTTCCACACAAAGGATTATTAAAAAAATAGAAAATAGAAGCGCACGGAATCGGAGGTAACCTTGTGACGTGGCTTCGCAATTGGTTGGGAGACAGAAAACAGAGGGAACGTTCTCTGATTGGGGGGACGTGACAAGTGGTGCCCCCAGGGGTCTGTACTGGGACCTCAGCTTTTTGCCATATACATAAATGACATGGATGAAGAAATAGAAAGTTTTATATCCAAGTTTGCGGATGACACTAAGATAGGAGACTCAGCAAGTAGTGAAGATGGGAATAGGAAGTTACAGAGGGACATAGACAGATTAAGTTAGTGGGCAAAACTGTGGCAGATGGAGTTCAATGTAGGGAAGTGGGAGATCATCCGCTATGGACCAAAAAAAGATAGGGACAAAATACTTTCTTAACGGGGAGAAATTAAGAACTGTGGAATAGCAAAAAGATTTGAGTGTCTATATCCACAAATCACTAAAAACTAGTTCCCAGGTGCAAAACATAATCAAAAAGGAAAATGGTATGTTGATCTTTATCTCGAGAGGCCTGGAATACAAAGTGGCAGAAATGATGCTTCAGCTGCATAGAGCGTTAGTCAGAACCCCACTGGAGACTGTGCTTAGTTTTGGGCACAACACCATAGGAAAGATATATTGGCCCTGGAGGGGATGCACTGCAGGTTCACCAGAATGTATACCAGGCCAAAAAGGGTTAAGTTACAAGGAAAGGCTGCGTAAACTTGGATTGTATTCCCTCGAGTTTAAAAGATTGAGGGGTGATTTGATAGAGCTTTTTAGGATGATAAAGGGATTTGATAGGGTAGATGCAGAAAAGCTATTTCCTATGTTGGGGGAATGCAAAACAAGGGGGCATAGTCTTAAAATTTAAGAGTGAAATTAGGAAGCATTTTTTCACTCAAAGAGTGGTAGAAATCTGGAACTCTCTCCCCCAAAAGGTCGTGGATGCTGGATCCATCCATACCTTCAAGAAAGAGATTGACAGATTTTTGATAGGTCGGGGTATTAAGGGATATGGGGAGGAAGGGGGAAATTGGATTTGAAATTCTAGTAAAAGTATAGATCAGCCATGATCTAATTAAATGGCGGAACAGGCTCGACGGTTTGAATGGCCTACTCCTGTTCCTATGCCAATGAAAATTAACAAAAACAGATTTTTTAAAATTGTTTTCTTTTTGAAATTCCACAAGGTGGCTCTGTGCTTTACCTCCCACTAAATATCTACAAGTGCTAACTGTAGGTAAAACTCATTCACACGCAATTATTTGGGGTTTACAGCATTGTGGAGTCCTGTAGCTCAGTGGTTAGAGCACTCGCCTCGCAAGCGAAAGACCGAGGTTTGATTCCCGGCAAGGGGAAATGTTGGTCAAGTTTCCTTACTCCACACACATCTATTTACTTAGCAGTAAGTAGGAAAATGGTTGATTGGCGGATCGCTTTTACGGGAATAATAATTTCTTCAAATTTCTTCAAATTTCTAATCTGGTTACTCAATCCATGACTGTTTGTGGGATGCTGCTGTGCACAATTGGCTTTTGCCCACAAAATCTGCAGTCAATTCACTTTACAAGTATATTCTGTGAAGTGCTTTGAGACGTCTTGAAGATGTGATAAGGTGCTATATCAAATGCAAGGATTATTATTATTATTTGTCTGTAGGACATAGGAACATAGAAATCTATTCTACTAGTGTCAATGCTTGCTCCTCCAACGAAGCCACCTAGTTGAATCCCAATTTCTTGCTCTTTATCTGTTCCTTCTCATACCCTTCCTCTCCATGTGTTTATCCAATTCCCTTTGAATGCCCTCAATCAACACCAATCCAACAGACACGCCTAACAAATTATTTATATTCCAATAAGCCTCTGGGAGAAGGAAAAGGTTTAAAAAGGTAAATTGTGAGGAACTATTTCCATTGGCAATTCAAATACAAGTGGGTAAGAATTTAAAATTAGAAATTGGAGAATTAAAGGGCCCCTAAATTCCCTTTCAATTCTCCGTAACTTGCCCTTTAATTTTCCGAAATCCAATTTTAAATTCTCACCCTCTTGTCCTTGAATTAGCTACCAACAAAAATAGTTCCCCGCAATTTACCCTTTCAAACCTGTTCATTATCTTAAACACCTGTCACATTACATTTCAGTCTTCTCTGCTCCAAAGTAGAGAGTGCCAACCTCTAGAGCATCTCTTCAAAGCTATATCCTCTCACCTCTGGTGTCAACCACATGAATTTACTTTGCACCCTGCATCACTTAACCAAAGTGCTTTTCCTCTAACAGAGTAATGTGCATGATTCTTGCAGCCTGCTAGCCTGCATTGCTTTATCATTCGAGCACACGTGCTGCAGAAACCCTATTTTGCCTGATTTGTTTATTTTGGTTTCCTAAGACATGTTGCAGTCTCATAATACAAACAACGGATCTGTCTAAATGGATTGAACTTTTTCTTAGCTGTCATAGAATTTATTTTTCCTGAAGTCTAGCAGAAGTTTGGAGATGCCTATAAATGATTGAATGTGCAGGCTGATAGTATTCCAGAACTAATATTGTGTGTAATGGAAGGTTACTATTCCTGTTGCAGCTCACAGTGTCAACATTCCTCAGTCATAACCAAAGAATCAGAGCCAAATGGAAACGGATGTTTGTTCGTCCTCACCCAGGTGTCCTCATGATGCCATTCAAAAATGTCATATTTTCATTCCAAAAAGAATTTATTATTGCCACTGCAGCAAGTACTTAACCTTACCGCTCCACTCTAGCCTCGGCCAAGTCGTCCTTCTACTCCAGGATAATCCTGGAGGCGAAGAACAACCCCAGGTTACTGTTTTCCACCACAACCCGACTCCTCCGTCCCCCCCGCCACCCCGCGCAGGTCATCTCCTCCAACCTTCACTGCGAGGAGATGCTGGATTTCCTTGAATCCAAGATCAAGGGAATTCGCTCCGCGGTCACTTCCCCTCCAACATCCACCAACCCCCCACCCCTCACTCCCACACTCCGACTGCTACCCATCCTCCCCTACTCACTTTTGTACCCGTTTCCCCACCCTCTGTCACCAAACTCATCCTATCCCTGAAACCAACCACCTGCTCCCTTGACCCCATCCCCACTCCACTCCTTATCTCCCAGCTCCACTTTCTTGCCCCACATATCACCGACATCGTCAACCTGTCCCTCTCCTCTGGCTCTGTCCCCATTCCCTTAAAAACTGCCACCATCACGCCCACCCTGAAAAAACCCTCCCTTGATGCGTCGCAGCTATCAAGCTACCGGCCCATCTCCAACCTCCCCTTTCTCTCCAAGGTCTTGGAAAGAGTTGTCGCCTCCCAACTGCGCTCTTTCCTTTCCACCCATTCACTTTTCGAACCCCTTCAGTCAGGTTTCCGTGCTGCCCATAGCACAGAAACTGCCCTGGTCAAGGTCACCAATGATATCCTGACCATCTGTGACCAGGGCTCCCTCTGCCTCCTCGACCTATCGGCAGCATTCGATACGGTCGACCACGCTATCCTACTCCACCGCTTGTCCTCCCACCTCAACCTTCAAGGCACTGTCCTTGAATGGTTTAGGTCGTACCTTTCTCACCGTCTTCACTTTGTCTCAACGAATGGCTTCTCCTCCACCCCCCGCACTGTCTCATGTGGTGTCCCTCAGGGCTCTGTCCTCGGTCCCCTCCTCTTCACCCTCTATATGCTCCCCCTTGGTGACATCATCCGCAGACATGGAGTTAACTTCCACATGTATGCGGATGACACCCAACTCTACCTTTCCTCCTCTACTCTCAACTCCACGACCACCGATGTCCTGACAGCCTGCCTGTCCGACATCGAGTCCTGGACGAGAGACAACTTTCTTCAGCTCAACGTGCGAAAAACCGAGGCCCTCCTGATTGGCTCACGTCAGCGCCTCCGCACCTCAGGCGCCGACACCATCAGCATCCAAGGCTGCACTCTCCACCTCTCAAAGCCAGTCAGGAACCTCGGGGTTTTGTTCGACCCTGAGCTGTCCTTTCTCCCTCACATCCGCACCACAACTGGCACCGCCTTCCATCACCTCCGGAACATCGCCAGACTACGGCACTACCTCACCCCTCACGCTGCTGAAACTCTGGTCCACGCCTTTGTCACCTCAAGGCTGGACTATGGGAACTCTCTCCTCGCCGGCCTTCCCGCCACCTCCCTCCACAAGCTGCAGGTCATTCAGAACTCTGCAGCTCGTGTACTGTCCCGCACCAGGCTTCGCGACCACATCACTCCCACCCTCGCTCGCCTCCACTGGCTCCCCATCCCCCAGAGGATAGATTTCAAGATCCTCATCCTCACCTATAAGGCCATCCACGGCCTTGTTCCCTCCTACCTCTCCAACCTACTATCCCCCTACTTACCTGCCCGTTCCCTCCGTTCCTCCGGCCCCGGTCTGCTCCACATCCCCCGCCCTAACCGCCCTACCATCGGTGGCCGGGCCTTCAGCCTCTCAGCCCCCAGGCTCTGGAACTCCATCCCCCAGTGCCTTCGCCGCCTCCTCCCTCTCCTCCTTCAAGGCCGGTCTCAAAACCTTTCTCTTTGACCGTGCCTTCAGCTCCCCTCTCGACTCTCTTCCCCCTCCTCGCTCCTTCCCTTCCCTCCCCTCACCCTGACCATTTCCCCCCTGCTCGGGTCATGACCCAACTGTGCAGCGCCTTGGGACGTCCTCCTGACGTGAAAGGCGCTTTATAAATGGAATCTTGTTGTTGTAGGGTTGTTTCATCTGTCTACAAAGGAGGGGGAAAAAAACTCTCGGACACATGTTTTCAGTAACAATAATAATAATCCTTGCATTTGATATAGTGCCTTTCACATCATGAGGATATCTCAAGGAGTTTCACTATAAAGTGTAGTGACTGTGTATTTTGTAGGCAAACACATAGAATGTTATTGCAGGTCATTCAGTTGAACTAGTCCATATCAGTGTTTATATACTCCAATGCTGCGTGCAAATTTTCTGACACATTTCGTCCACAAAATATACAGTCGATTCACTTTACAATATATTCTATGAAGTGCTTTGAGACGTCTCAAAGACGTGATAAGGCGCTATATCAAAAGCAAAGGTTTATTATTGTTATTATTATTATTATTATTATTATTATTATGCATCATGCAGGTCAACCTCATCACCTCAAAATGCAGAATAATATTATGGAAAAAGCACATTGACTGGAAATGCAGTGCAATGTGACTTTTGACTTAATTCTGATAAATAAATATTTGATCAAATTTGCAGTTGGAATAGTGTGCATTCATACTGCAAGTAAAAATTTGTTTATACAGCAAATGAGCATTCACCAGTTGTAATCCACTGCCCATAACCCTCTATTCCCTTTCTCTTTCATTTATTGGAGTCCTGTTGCTTTGTTGAGTCCTGTAGCTCAGTGGTTAGAGCACTCGCCTTGCAAGCGAGAGGACCTGAGTACGATTCCCGGGAAAGACAAAATGTTTGGTAAGTTTCCTTACTCCACATGCCTCTGTTTACCTAGCAGCAAGTAGGAACGTGGTTGTTAGTCGATTGGCGGATCACTTTTCTGGGGTAATAATCCCTTCAAAAAAAATAATATAGTTAATCAATCCACGACTGTTTGTGGAACACTGCTGTGTGCAATTGGCTGCCGCATTTTGCCCACATAATATACAGTCAATTCACTTTACAGTATATTCTGTGAAGCGTTTTGAGACGTCTCGAAGATGTGGTGAGGTGCTATATCAAATTCAAGGATTATTATTTTATCATTGTCAAAGTTCAAAAGTACATTTTACCTTTATATCCCAGGATGGCTACAGTAATGGTCAACAGGGCACACAGGACATAAAGAAGCAGGATAGCGAACTTCAGTGCCCAATTGTTCCTGCATCTATTACACTGAGGCCCTTCCTGGATTCCTGCAAAACAAACATAATCAACGTTTAAAAAAGTTGGGAGAATTTATATTCAACTATGTCTTTGGTTGGTACTTTCATCACAAATATAAGCAACAAATATTACAGTGAAGTACAGAAGAAAAAAAGTAGATTACTCTTCAAAAAACATGAGTTTGATTTTAATCTACATGTATGGCACTTGAGGAAACCTATCACCATTCTTAAGCATATCCAAACCAGACTGTGAGCACAACAGATATGTTACCTATGCATGGAAATTTTTATATCTTGAATGGAAAGCACACTCTCTCTCTCTGGAGGGATGCACCCTGCCAGAGTTTAACCAGCTAAAACTGCCTGGCTTGCCATTGAAAGCACTTGCTGGTAACCTTCCCGTTGCTTGTCCAGCTGGGACCACCCTACTGGTTAGGGCTTGGCTTGCAGGGTTAATTATGGTCGAGTGGGAAAAATTCCTGCCTCAGTGACATGAGAAACAGCAACACCAGGAATAGACTGACTCAGAGCTTTCAGCTTTTGGTATCAGCACCAAAACACTCTAACAAACCCAAAAAAACATCTGCAGCTCTAATTGTGTTGTACTTTTATTTTAAGTTCCTTCCTTTTCTCAAAATGAAACCAGTCAGACTATGCCCATTTGTGTGGTAAATCAGGTGACGATCGATGACCATGATAAAAATTCCATTGTAAGCAAGTAATGGAAAGAATGCTACTTGGAGTCATCAGCACATGAAAACCCCCCCTTATCTGATCTAGCTTCTTCCAATTTTCTTCCCTTTACTGAGGACAGTTGACTTGTGCAATTCCGAGTTGCTGGCGATCCTCCCATCCCATGTTTCCTCAGTGAGTCTAAACAATTCCCTATTTAACCATGAAAGTCACTCGGGCCAACACTGATCCTGTGGTCAACTGACATTATATTTGTCTGGGTCAATGGATAGCGATCAGTAGCTCTTCATTGGCCTAGGTTATATCACAGTCAATTATAGCAGCATTGCTACCACTCAACTACCTCAGAAGGGACTGGGGATTAAACCTTCCTGGTTTGTATGGATCAGTACCACACTAGGCACTATGTTCTTTGAAAAAAAGGACAATTATTAATGTCTATTCTTTTCTTCATTTTATTAATCCTTCCTAACATTGGATTTGTGCAGTAACCCTGGAAATGCTACCTGAGCTGTGTAATGGTGATTTTTTAAAAAACTTTGTTTCAGTTTTTCAGTCATTCAGTATGAAATGAAAACAACAAATTACATTTGTATAGCGCCTTTCATGTCAGGAGGACATCCAATATAAACATTACTAGCAATCTAATACATATAAATCTTGCAATATATGTGAAGAACAGGCTCAGTTTCCGCACTTTGGTTTGAATCCAGAGCAGGAGTAGTTGGACGTGGAAACATTACACAGTTGCTGTGGAGGTTGCTCTTCTGATGATAGAGGTTACATCACATCTTGTTGGGACAGAGTCATGGCTTTACTCTGCTTTTGGTCGGTTCTCCACCAGTACTTAATGCCAAAGTTGGTGACATGGTGGAAAACACTGTCTATAACTGACATACTTTATTTCAAATGAGTAGAAATGTTAAAAAGCTTGACTTTTTCAAAAGCTGATGGTTCTTTTTAGAAACATACTTTGTGTGCGACCACAGCCTGAAATGGGAAGGTATAATTTATTGCAAGCACAATATTTCAAGAAAGTACTTAAGGTCAAAAATAATAAAGTGAGCAGCAAATGCAGTTCAAGTACTTCAAAGAAATATTGTAATCTGTTGTCCCCAGAATAACTTCCCATCGTTCAGTGCATATATAATGTTTCGGGTCATGAGCTAGGACCTGTTACACTGCCAAAGCCTACACCTATGTAACTATTGGCAGGAGCTACCAGTCTTAAACCAAGAAAACATACCAGCCTCCTACACTTAACTGATTTGGTAGCTTTCTTGCCTAACTCACACAATCTATGCTGACTCCACTGCAATGCTGGCAGACTGCTGTATTGTTGGAGATTCTGTCATTCAGATGAGATATTAACCAAAATCACATCTACCTGTCCAGGTGGATGTTAAAGATCCCGTGGCACTATTTGAAAAGAGAAGGGAGCTTCTTCTGGTGCCACAGTTAACAATTCCCCAAATAATATTGGTAATTCATCTCATAGCGGTTTGTGGAACATTGTTGTGTGTAAATTGGCTGCTGTATTCACCTACAAATACAGAGACACTATACTTTACAGTAAAACGTGAAGTACTGTAAGATGTGCTCTGACAAGAAAGGCATAATATTAAATAAAAGGATTATTATCAATATCATTATTACACTGCTTCAAACAGCTGCATCTAATGCAAATTTCAGAAACAGCAATGAATGTGTCCTGTTGGAGTTGAAGTTTGACTTTAACATGTTCAAATCTTAGCTTTTTCTTCTGTTCCATTTCCCAGGTTCTTTTTTCTCAGTCTTATTTCATTTTCATATTGTGGCTACGGAGAATCAAAATTTAGCAATGAAGTAGATGTGTATTTGCAGCAATTCCAAAGTTGCACTGTTTTTACATTGCTTCTGGATTTCCTGATGGTGTTCATGGCAACTGATGCATGCTCAAACACCTTGACGCTGCTTAAATACTGCAATAATGTCTAGGCTGACACATCACTACAGCGCTGGGGAAGCTCTGCATTATTGGAAGTGCCGTTCTTCAGGTTTGATGTTAAACCAAGAACCACCTGTTCAGATGGATGTTAAAGATCACATGACACTGTTGGAAAGTTTCTCCCGGTGCCATGGTTTACAATTTCCCAAATAAAATCAGTTATTCACTTTGTGGTAATTTGTGGGATATTGCTGTGCACAAATTGGCTGCCTCAATTGCCTACAGAATACAGTCACTGAGATGTATAGCATTTTGAGATACCCTCCTGTTGGGAACAATGCTACGTCAAATGCAAGGATTACTATAATCAACAACAACAAGATTCCATTTATAAAGCGCCTTTCACGTCAGGAGGACGTCCCAAGGCGCTGCACAGTTGGGTCATGACCCGAGCAGGGGGGAAATGGTCAGGGTGAGGGAAGGGAGGGAGCGAGGAGGGGGGAAATGGTCAGGGTGAGGGGAGGGAAGGGAGGGAGCGAGGAGGGGGAAGAGAGTCGAGAGGGGAGCTGAATCATGTTCCTAATAGATGAAATGAAAGTTATGGATAGCCATGAATTCTACCATCTTGCTGTGATCATGAGAATCTATAAATCATTATAAGGAAATGCATACAATTACTGTTAAATACTAATATGAAGTGCTATCTATTCCAAGCTACACAATGCTCGCTGCAGGGATATGAGTCCGAGGTCAGAGCAACAATATATAATCAGTCATTTGGAAGTAGTTCAGAATGAGCCACCTGATGTATGTTCCTGTACAAATATGTTTTTTAATAATTTTTTTGAATATGATATTCAATTTGCCAAATGTTATGCTTCCTGTTATTGTATGATAACATGTACTTTAATAGCATTTTTCAACACCAATGAGATAAGAAGCCAATTAATTACAATTTGGGGATAAATTAGGACAAATTTCCTTGAAGCTGCAAAAACAGGGCCATTTGGGAAATAAGGGGTTTGTGGATAATTTCCATTATATTTTTTTAAATTATATTATATTTTTTTAAATTATAAGAAGTTTACCTGTACCTCAACAGCTATGGATGAACACTGAATTAAAATTGCGCCCAAATTCAGATATCTGCAAGTCAGAAATATGGATTTTTACATGGAATTCCATATAATAAAAATAATAATCCTTGCATTTGATATAGCGCCTCTCAAGTCTTCGCAACGTCTGAAAGCCTTCACAGAATATACTGTAAAGTGAATTGACTGTATATTTTGTGGGCGAAACGCGGCAGCCAATTGCACACAGAGGTGTCCCACAAACAGTTGTGGATTGAAGTGACTAATTTTTTTTAAAAGAAATGATTATCCCTGGAATAGCCAATCGACTAACAACCGGGTTCCTGCTTACTGCTAGGTAAACAGAGGTATGTGGAGTAAGGAAACTTATGTTTCACACTGAAATCACTGGAATTGAACTCTGCTTACAAGGCAAATGCTCTAACCACTGAGCTATAGGTCTGTTAGAGCACAGAAACTGGTCATTCGGGCCAACTAGTCCATGCCACCCGATCTCCTCTTCTACATCCATCTATTCCCTTCTCCCTGATGTATCGAGTTTTCTTTAAATACATTGATGCTTTTTGCTTTAACCATTCCTGCAGTGAGTTTCACATTCTCACCAACATCTGCGTGAAGGAGTTCCTCCTAAACTCCTGATTAGATTTACTACTAAACATATTATATTTATGCCCCTCGTGTTGGACTCTCCAATAAGTGGAAGCACCTTATCAATGTCCATCTTATAAAATCTTTTCATATTCTTAAGCATCCCTATCAGCTCCCCTTTCAATTGTTTCATCTCCAGAGAGAAAAGCTCCAACATGTCCAATCTTTCTTGATAGCTGTATCCATTCACTGGTAACATCCTTGTAAATCTACACTGTACTCTCCAATCCTACAATATTTTTCTTGTAATATGTGGACCAGAACTGCATACAGTACTCAGTTTTTGTATCACTTATCTTACATGTTGTGTGTGTGTGTGGGAGGGGGGAAGGATTAACCACAGTGCATTGTGCATCGTTTACATAAAATTTTTGTAAACATTGGAAACTAGATGTGTGTAGTTGGAAAAGTCTTCTGTAAGTAGAAGATTTGACTATAGGTGGAACTGAGTTCTGTATCCAATAGACAGTTGATCTAGTGATGGTGTAAACTGAAGAATGGCAGACTTTCTTCTCAGATTATTAAACAACAACTTGCGTTTATACAGGGGAGTTGTCTTTATGGGGGTAGCATATCGGAGGATAACAAGGAACAATCCGGAAGTCACAAGATCACAAGATTTGTCTGGATGAAGACTGTCCTTCGGCCCATCAAATCTCACCACT